GAAATTAAAAATAATTAAAGATGAAATGTTTGGGAGGTATAGTAGGGATTTTGAGGTGGTCCCTGTGTAGGATAAACACATGTCACTTCAGGCACAAAGAACTGGTGTCCTCCCTTAGAGAATTCTCAGCAAAAGGCACAAGGGAGAACTCATTTTTAAGGCTCTTTTTCTCTTGAATGATGTGAACAAACTCCTGGTTGTTCACACCGAGGCCTTGGAGAGAACGCTGCACAGACTGCTCTCCTCGAAGGCACAGCTTTGTTCTCCAGCGACAGAAAGCCCTGGGGAGGCTCTGGGGGCTGCTGCAGCCCAGAAGGTTGGTTTGAATCCTGACTCAGCGGCTCGCTCTCTTTGTGACTCCAGGCTAAATATTTAACTCCTCTGAGCCTCCATTTCCTTGTATGGACAGCGAAGCTGCTGATCCCACTTACAACTGAATGAACGCTAATTGTTAATTCAGAGTCAGCTTAGACCTGACAGGCGCTGTCAGGGCGATCGCTGTTCTTAGCCACGGGCACCAGGTCCGGGTTTAACCACGATCACTATCCCCAAGAGTGGCCCCCAGGCCCCCCAGCAGGCCAGATGATTAACCTCAGCTCTCGATGGACACCCCCACCCCCACCCACTTTGCCTTCAGGTGTGAGAGTTGAAACAGTCCAGACGGGAAGCTGTGGGAAGGAAGGAGCTGTGGCAGGACAGGTGGCGGCGTCTTCTGCGTGCCCATTTCACAGAGGAGGGAGCTGCCCGGGGGCTCCTCCGGGGGCCTGGGGCTCAGGGAGCCGAGGGGAGACCCATCCTCCTAACAGATGTGAGTTCTCTTCCCAAATCCCAGGTTTCCCTGGCCTGGCTCCATAACAGGCTCCTCGCCTCCCCCACCTACACTACACCCCCAAGGCTGGGGGTGGAAGAGCAAAAGGGGTCCCCTTCTCAGGGTGCTGGGCTTGGGAGACTGGCAGACCCACCTGAACCTTCCCCGCTGTTGGTTTTTTTTTTTTAATCTTTTTTTTTTCAAATTTTATTTTTTATTACAAAGGGTATTACATATGTGTCCATTTTTTTCCCCGCCCTAGACAGTCCCCTAGCCTCCCCTATTCCCCAGTGTCTTATGTCCATTGGTTAGGCTTATATGCATGCATACAAGTCCTTTGGTTGATCTCCCGCTGTTGTTTATTAACGGGGTGACCTTGGGCAAATTACTAGTCTTTCCTTGGCCGCATACTCCTTCCTTTCTTCGGGGAAGTTAGCACAATGACCAACCCAGGGGGAGCCCCAGTAAATAAGAGCTTACAGTGGGGCTGGGGGAGAGGGAGCGTTCCCATGGTGATGAGAGGTGCTCCGGGCTGTGGAATCCTCCTCCTCTGGCATCATTCCTGAGCTCACGGGCAGAGCGCGGGAAACTCCCTGGTCGGGGTGCTGGGCAGAGGCGGAGACCCTCGGAATCACAGGCTGTGACTAGGTGCCACGGGGACCTGGGAGGCTGCTGCTGCCTGGCTGCCCTTCCCCTCTAACCACGCCCACGGGCACCCTCCTTCCCTGCGGGATCCGAGAGTAAACGTAGAACGTGGACCGGGAGGGGGCGCTGTGCTCGCCAGGGACGGAGGAGAGCAATTGTGGGCGGGGCCCAGCGAGACTGGAACCCGCGAACCCGCTCTACGGGACCAGTGCGCTCCAACCCTGAGATACTGAGCGGGTCGCTGGCCCGCGATGCTGGGACCCCGTCCTTCTCCAGGTGCCCTCCGTCGGGCTCAGGGGTGAGGGGACCATGCCTGCCCGAGGTGCCCTCTTTTTTTTGACCGGAACTTGGTTAGGCTGCTGATCAACTGAACGCTGTCTCTGTGTCATTCCTTCTTCGCTGACTCCGTCCACACCTTTGGGGACCCCTGGACCTGCTGGGGTTTAACCCCAGCAGACAATCATATACTTTACAAAGTGTTCTCCCAATATTTCCAATACCCACCTGAGTGTATTTTATTTTACATTTTAGATGTTGTGCCCAGATTTCAAGATTCCCAAGGACCCACCAGGGAGCCAGCGACCGGGGCGCGGGGAGCCTGTCCTGGCAATGGGCACTACCCCTGACCTTGCCTGGTCCAAGACCTCAGAGTCTGCAGGGTCCAAGGCAAACTGAGGGCCACTTCACATCTCCTCGCCTCCCTCACCCCCCAGACTTTCGTGCACGTGCCTTCTGGACACGGACCTCAGGACTGAGCCCCTTACAGGCCTTCTAGGCAAACGTGCCTTCCTTCATAGCGGGGGAAACTGAGGCCCAGGAATGAGGAATGCTGGCTTTTGTCTCAACTGCGAAGCCTCAGGCAAGCCACTTTCCTGCCCTAAAAGGCGAAGGGATACTGGTAAGAGCAGGAAATAACGCACAGGGATTTACTCCCTTCCCTGTCCTGGTGACGGTGCAATAACCCCATAGGTTGAAGTTAACCCGTTTTGCATGTGAGAAAAGAGGCTCAGTATTGGCCAAAGCCACACCGCTCAGAGGAGGTGTTCAGACCCAGGATGGGTTGCTGCCTGGCCTGCGGACTTCCTGCCACAGACCCCGCCTCCTGCATCCTCGGGGCTCACACCTGTTTTGTTTTCTGACGGTGAACTGTACCCACACACACATCTATAGCTGAAAACAACACTCACCCTTAGTGTGAGTCACTCTTTCTGTCTTTATCCGATACTATGTCTTTTCTCCTCTGACTTTCTTTTTTTTAAAATATATTTTATTGATTTTTTACAGAGAGGAAAGGAGAGGGATAGAGAGTTAGAAACATCCATGAGAGAGAAACATGGATCGGCTGCCTCCTGCACACTCCCTACTTGCCGGGGTCCAACCCCAGTAGGTCCAGGGGTCCCCAAGTATTGGGGTCCAGCCCCAGCAGGTCCAGGGGTTCCCCATGGTGTGGACAGGGTCTGCGAGGAAGGAAAGACCTGGGGGCAGCCTTCAGGTGATCATCATTGCGAGGTTCCTCTTAGCCAGGTTCCTCTCTTTATTGTCCTTTTATATCTGTATTTATACTATTTGATCTTAATCCCATCCATTCTATTCCAAAGGTTAGTTTCTTATCTCCATTCCAAGGTTACTCTATTGTTCTATTAAGCTACAAGGAAGTAACTGAAGGAGATCATTCTAAGTAAAGATTATGTAGCTTAATCGTGATTGTTCATAGTTAAAGTGACTAACTACCGCCTGGCACTTAGTTAAGGGGTTTTACTGCTAAAAATCCTCACCTGGGGAAACAACCTTTCTCGGGGAGGTGGTCCTGTTTAAAACACAAAGGGCCAAGAAGATGAGCAAACATATTAAGAACAGTATGCCATATACACCAGGTCCCTTGAAACAGCAAGGATGGACCAGCTCCCAGCACCTACTGGGGATGTGCCCGCAACCAAGGTACATGCCCTTGACCGGAATCGAACCTGGGACTCTTCAGTCCACAGGCCGACGCTCTAGCCACTGGTCAGGGCTCCTCTGCCTTTCTTTCTTTGCATGCTGGGTACGACCTGCTGAAAGGATGCCACTTCTCACTAGTGGGCCAATGGTCCCAATTTGAAAAACACTGTCATTGTGCTGGCTGGGCTTTCCAGTGAGAAAAGCAATGGAGAGCTGTCTGTCTGTGCCCAGGACAAAGTCAAGACCGAGCAAAGGTGCAGGAGGACGGTGCTGCTCCGTGAATCACCTGGAGAGGTTGTTACAGGGCAGGTCTGAGATGGGGCCCGGGTCCTGTGGGGTTGTCGCTGTCTACCCCTCCCTTGCCGGAGCCAGGTCTCCTCCACGGCCTCACCATCAAGCAAGTTATAAGGAAAGCAAGCCTGAGACCAAATTCTGCCATTCACACACACACTTATCAATAAACTAGAGGCCTGATGCATGAAATTCGTGCCAGGGGCTCAGTCCTCGCAGCCCTGTGGCCCCGCCCACGGGTCATTCCGGAAGGTCGTTCTGGGAGGTTGTTCCGCCATCCAGTCTAATTACCATATTAACTCTTTATTATATAGGATAGGCACACAAACTAGACTCAGCCTGTTCTTGTGAGGGTCCAACTCTGTCTTTTTTGAGCCCTTCACAAGAGTCTTCCGGAAGGGTTCAGGGGCCCAGTGGCCAAAATCCACCCTTGCTTTTTTCATGGTAACAGAATTGAAGGTGGGTGATGCTGTTGAGCCAGGGACCTCACTTCTTGTTCCTCCTCTTCTCCCACCAGCGTGCATCTGTGCGGAGGTCTGAGCCAATGGGGTGTGCACCTCCTGAGAGAGGGCCCAGCTTACCCAGCTTACAAGGCAACTTGAAACTTGTACTCCAGTTAAGAGTCAACGTATGCACCTGAGCTCCCTTCTTTTCCCTTCCGACGAGTAGGGAAATGGGAATCCCATAACCCAGCTCTGACCCTGCAAGGCAATACCTAAGGGAAACAGCACCGAGATGGGAAGAACCTGGATCCCTGATCATAGCATGGAGCAGAGCTGCCCATCAACCCAGATCTCTCACATAGAGATGGTTATTCGAGAGAGTGGTCAACTTCTTCAAGCCACTGCATTTGGGGCGAGGGCTCTTTGTTACAGAGTGTACCCTAACTAACCTTGAGGCTCCTCTGAGGAAAACGCAATAATGTTCGTAAGGCAGAACCAACTCACGTCTTCATCTGATAGGTGACAGAATCCTCTAGTTATGGGGAGGCGGTGGCTGGGGGAGGATAAGACCAAAGTTCTAAACCAAAACCATTATATTCTAATGTTATTTTCTTGCAAACATGGACATATGCCTGTGTATATCTTTCTAGCCATCCATATACCATTGACACTGCTCATTCAGCCAACAAAAATATATATTTTAAATGTTTATTTATTGATGAGAGAGAGAAAGACAGAGACGAAGACAGAGGCAGAGAGAAACACTGAGTTTGTTGTTCCACTTATGTATGCATTCACTAATCGATTCTTGCATGTGCCCTGATCGGGGTTCGAAACTGCAACCTTGGTGTATTGGGACCACGCTTTCCAAGCAAATCGGGGTGAAGGGGTGCTCTCCTGAACTACAGAAGGAATCGTCTGGTGGTTAAGATAGAACACAAGTCAAATCTATTAGCGTTGTCCACAGTCAGCAATGGTGATCTTCTTGCTGGTCTTGCCATTCCTGGACCCAAAGCGCTCCATGGCTGTCACAATATCCATGCCGTCTTTCACCTGACCGAAGGCCACATGCCTGCCCCCCAACCACTCCGTCTTGACAGCACAGATGAGAAACTGGGAACTGTTTGTGTTCGGTCCAGCATTTGCCATGGACAAGATGCCAGGACCTGTATGTTTCAGGACGAAGTTCTCATCCTCAAATTCCTGCCAATAGATGGACATGCCGCCTGTGCCAATATGGCGTGTGAAGTGACCACCCTGGCACAAAAATCCTGGAATAATTCTGTGAAAGCAGGAACCTTTATAACCAAATCCCTTCTCCCCAGTGCTCAGGGCACGGAAGTTTTCTGCCGTCTTTGGAACTTTGTCTGCAAACAGCTTGAAGGAGACACGGCCCGAGGGCTCGCCGTCGACGGCAAGGTTGAAGTACACGGTGGGGCTCCCCATGGCTGGTCACAGGCGGCTTCGGGGCGGCGGCGTCTGCAAAGCCTAGAAAGACAATTTTAAACTTGGGGTCCTTCACATATTTAGTAATTACTCCCCTCCAGCTTGGTCATCGCGTAAAGTTAACAGACATGCACATATATCTCCTGTACTATACTGCGGGAACACAGACAATATCTCCTCTTTATATTCTCCTTCCGAGCAGTGTTAGAGCCTCCGTGGCTATTCAGCTCCCCCTGCATCATTTCCTTGACTGCTTTTAAGAAATGTGGCTCCAGGCTTGTTTCATGTCTGATGAAAATCCACCTCCCCCTGCCCAGTATCCCCAGTGATCCTCTGTGGGACCCCTACTGCCTCACACCCCCATTTCTCCCTTCTCCTGACCGCTCCAATCCTCTTTAGACCTCATGCCCCATAGTTGTCTCCTCTCTGACCCACTTTTGGTCAGGATTGGCAAGTCACTTCTGGTGAGGATTGGCGAGCAATGGGGTTGGGGGACTCACCTTGAAGTGTGGTGCTGCTCATTATTTAAAATTTAATATTGGGTATCGTATTTGCCGAAGCCCTTCGGCCATTCTCACTTCAGGATATTCCTAGCCCCCTTCTCTCACCTCTTAGCCACCATCTCTCTCCTCCTCGCTGCCTTCTCTGATTTCGGCTTCCTCATATCCTGTGGTGTCTCTCTCTTCACCATTCCACTCCTCCCATTCATTGCTCCATGGTCCCTCATCCAGAATAAAAACCAAGTGCCCCAAATCGTTAAAAAAATTTTCTATTATCCCACTGCCCTACTCCCTCCTTCTGTCCCCTGTCCCAGGGCCTGCCTTCATATCACCTGGGTTAGGGGGCAGTTTTGCTTAACACAAATAAACACAACACCACACAAATGAAACCCCCCAAAAAAGGTCTCTTCCTGTCTGGCCAGCTCACAAAATCACTTCTTTGTCCTCCCAACCACCTACAAATCCGATCAAGGTCTTCCTTTGCTTAAATCTCTGCAGCGTCTCTTTGCTCGCCCGTGCTCATCCCCATCGCCATGGTTACCGGGCCCTTGGTGACTGGGTCCTGCCCTCTCCGTGTCGGTCTGATAGCTCTCTGCTTGCCCACAGCCCCCCCGTGCTGCTCCTGCCCAGCCACTTCGCCTTCCCGGGATGGGCCTGCTCCGCTCGCCCACCTTCACTCCTCTGCTCCTCGTGCCTCAGCCTGGACTGCCTCTCCCTTAACGCTGCCTGGTGGCTGCTGTCTCACCACCCCTGGGAAGCCCTCCCTGACTTCTCAGGCTGAGGACGGGGCTCCTTCCCTGTGGTAATCACCTCTGGACTGTCCATCTTAGCTCTTAAAACCTCACAACTTTGAGCCTTACTTGTCTCTCTCCCCCATTGGATGGGACTCATAAGGGCAGACATGCAGCCAGCGTGGGTTTAGATCCTTAAGGTTCGCACAGAGGAGCCCCCAGTAGCTGCTTGTTAGGTGACTGATAGAACGTGCGAGACCCACTGCTCACCCAGGGAGTGACATCTGACTGAAGGACGGTCTGCAAGGACGGCTTGGGAGGCAGGGCTGCGAGGAAGGGGTGCTCCGGGCAGCAGGTCCAGCGTCAACCAAGACACTCATTCACTCTGAGCCCGTAGTTTTCCTCCACACCAGGGGGCCAGACCCCATCCTCTTCCATTTCTCCTTCTCCGGGGCCTACCATGGTGTCTGCCCCACCTCCACCGCTTCCAGTGCCATCACTAGCGCTGGCCGTGCCTGTCTTCATGGAGGGCGTGGACCATGGCGTGGACCTGGAGGTGTGTGTGTCCTGCCTCTGAGGAGGCTCCTACATCTTAGGTGGCCACGGAGGGGGGTTCCCCTCACAGAGGAGGCAGGGCATCCCAGGGGCTCTCTTGGCCCCTCTTTCAAACCCACCCACCCCAAGAAGCCTGTGTTCCCTCTCCGTGGAGGGGCTGTGTCACTCGGAGAGGCTAGGCCACTCATGGCAACAGCATCTGTGGAATGGGACCTAAAGCCACGCGATGCACCTCTGTCTCCCGTGACGTGCTCGCTGTAAGTCGGCAGAAAGGCTCCAACGATGACAGGTACCCACGGGGCAGCCACCGTCTCAAGCCAGGTCTTCAGAGAGAGCCTGGAGCGGGGCCTGGGAGTGACCCACTGCCTCCACTCACAGCTCCCAGCCAGGCTGGACACAGGGCCCCACCCGACCACAGGGGCCAGCGCGCCCCCACAGGGCACTAATGACTAGTAAGGGAGGAGGGGGAAGTCAAAAAGGGGCAGAAGGGACACAAAGGCTTTAGAGAAGGAGGCAAAGCTGATGGCCCCTGAATCACAGCAGCTCCACTTTTTGGTGGCCAGGCAGCTGCGGGCTGGAATCTGGGCTTCATGAGGGCGAAGACGGGCAGGGGTGTGAGGGGTGGGGAGAGGGAGGGTGTGCTCACGGGGCTGCACCATGCCTTTCCCTTCCCCTGTGCCTTTCCTCTGGGCCTGCCGGGACCCAGCCGGAACCCAGCCAGCCCGGGGACCCTGCCCGTCCCTAAAATCATCCCTGGTAAATACAGCCAGCGGTGACCTCTCCTCCCAGCCACCTTGCACTCTGCCATTTGATCCGATTTAACCTGACACAAACCTCTCCCCTGTTTGGTGGTGCTCACCCATCATTTTGTCCTGATACGGTCTCTTCTTCCCGATGGCAAATTCCTTGAGTTCAGATCCATTTCCATGCCTTTTTTGTACACGTCCCCCCATCACATGGGGCCAGGCATTCACTCAACATTGCTGGCTCCTCACAATGCACTCTGCCCAGATGAATGGACACAAAAATGAGTGTGAAGGGGAGGTTTAAGGATGAGAGAGATGCGACCCCTACTGCAGCCTAGCAAGGGGCCCAAGAACGGCTTCAACAAAAGCAGCTCATCCTTCGACAATGTCATCCCTTCTATATAGTGATGGCTTCACAGAGGCGAGTCTGTCCAGTGTCCCTACCTCTTTGCTGGTCAACACAGAGGCCTCAAGTCACGAGTAGCTACTGGGCATTTAAACTGTGGCTAGTGAGACTGGGAAGTGGAATTGAGATATGCTGTAAGTGTAAAAAAACACGTCAGATTTCGAAGACCGTATGAAGAGAAAATATAAGATATCCTATTAAATTTTGTCTGTTGCTTATATTTTGAAATAATAGTATTGCAGATCGAGTGCATTAAGTATCATTTATTGTTAAAAATAACTTCATTTTCCTAGTTTTGTTTGACTCAGTGGATAGAGCATCGGCCTGCAGACTGGAGGGTCCCAGGTTTGATTCTGGTTGAGGGCATGTGACCGGATTGTGGGCTTGATCCCCAGTAGAGGGCGTGCAGGAGGCAGTCAATCAATGACTCTCTCTCACCATTGATGTTTCTATCTCTCCCTCCCCCTCTCCTTTCCTCTCTGAATTCAATAAAAATATATTTTTTTAAAACTTCACTGTCTCTTACTTTTTAAAACTGTGGCTATTAGAACATTGAAGGTTACATATGTGGCTTCGGTGTATTTCTGCCGGGCAGTTGGGCCTTGGAAAGCCTGGGCAAGATTTGGGCGCAAGGACCCGCTTTCGAGTTGCCAGTCCCCAAGCTGCAAATGGTGACGTGTGATCCAACCCCACTTTGGAAAAGTTCTCACAAGATTGGCATTTGAGGTTTGGAGCATGTCATTTTTGTCTCTCTTTACTCACCTTGCTGTTTTTTCCCCCAAACCTATGGCTAAAAACCAAACTAAAAGCGTTGTATTTATTCCACAAACTGATCTCCAAATCCTAACTAAATAGCAATTGCGCGCGCGCGCGCGCACACACACACACACACACACACACACGCACGCACACACACAAAAGCACACCCCTACAGGGACCAACATTTCCCATGTGTAAAGTGACATGCCTGATCAGTGGATTAAGCGACAGAAATTAATTATTACAGCAATTACTCGGCCACTAATTATTGGAACGCCAGACCTGACATCGCCGTCCTGGGAGCCACCTTCTGCCTTCTGGATGCATCAGTATGGACAGGGCAGCGCAGGCCGATGCATTTTTAAAACGCTTTCTTCCACTGCACGTTGCGGGGGTGAGCAAGGTGCATTAGCTTGCGGCAATCGATAGGGGGCGGTACACCTTCTGCCACAGAACATAAAAATGCAGGTGGATTCTGGCACCCATCTCTGCAGGCCAGGCAAACATCAAGTGCCTGGAAATGAGAATGGCTGGTCTTCAGGTGGCCATTCAGTGCAGCGTGGAAACACCAGCTGGGCAGTGGTAGACACCACCGTGTCACACCCAAGCCACCGTCCCTGCCCCCAGAGGAAGGGATCTGTCACCTGAGAATCCTAACGCTGTGTCTGTGGGTGGTCCCTTTGAATTCCTTCTCAACCACCTTGTTTGTTTTCTCTCTCCATTGCATCCCTGGCTGCCCAGGTGGCATCATTGGCTCTGCTTCCAGCGGCCGAGTCTGTGCAGAAAAGATTCCCTAGAGTCAATATATCCAGATCAAGACTGAAGATTTCAAAAGCAGTGCCACACAATGGGCCTTCTCTTGCACACGTACCAGAGGGCCCTTCTGCTGGTCACTGGTCTCTCCATTTCTCTCTGCCGTGGGGCTCCACTGTCTTCCAGGAGGCGTGTGAGGGTGGATGCAGCTGAAGCTGGGCCAGATGATGTCCAGAGGATGAAAAACATTTCAGTCCCTTGTTCTTTTTGCACTTTGGGGGAAGGTTTGAGCTCAATGGCACAGGGGTGTCAGCACAACATTTTGCATTTTTACCCCCCATAAGTCATCTAGTTAAAGCACCATTTTAGGACCTCTGGGGCCACCTTGTAATTCTCCCTGACACAATCCTATTGTTCCTGCTTTAAAACTGGCCGTTGAACTCAGAAAATTATTAAGCCAGGTGTCAGGGAGTGTTAGAGGCAGTGGCTTCACTAAAAGCCAGACGAGAAAGTCCAGTGTGCCCCGATATCTGTGAGGCTGGCCCAACTCACCCAGAATCTTCATTCTGGAGGTCAAGGCCAGGCCTATTTT